AGAGAGAGAGAGAGAGAGAGAGAGAGAGAGAGAGAGAGAGAGAGAGAGAGAGAGCCGGCGGGGCAGGGAAAGGGGAAGCATCAACAACATGTGGCAAACACTTTAACATCGGAAAACAAATGAGCACCCCAATACACAGAGACAGAAAGAGGAAAGGAAAGAGGGGGCAGGCACTTCAGCAATTCCAATTCAAACCTGCACTCCAATGGTGTTTTGTGCAGTAATGGCTGTGACTGCAGTTGAGCAGAAAGCCCCCAATGCTGCACAAGCTTTGAGATCTGCCTGTATCCCGGCTCCTGCCCCAGAGTCAGAGCCTGCGATTGTCAGCACGCATGGGACACGCGGCACGGCTTCTTCAATTGCCGCCACAGCAACATCAGGCGAGGATGAGGGCAACGCAAAGCATCCCACTGACCTCGTCTTCGACTCAGAATGGCCCATCAACCTTTGGGACGCCAGCAATGATCTTGCAAAAAGTGTTGAATCCCCAGAAAAGGTGGAGGAGGGTAAGGAGGTGGACAACGGCAATGACTTATGAGAGGCGCCGGGGCCAGACAGTGGCGACGGAGCAGCAGTGGCCAGTAGCTCTGGCGTAGCTACTCCGTCTTCTTCTTCTTCAGATTCTTCCTGACAAAGGGCAACTGTGAAAGGACGGAGCCCAGATGACAGCCAAGCTGTTGTTGTAGAGGAGGAGGAGGTGTTCTCCTCTGTCGTAGAGCTTATATAACTTCGAACACCTGCTCCCACCGCAGCCGCAGCAGGCCGACCTCCGCCCCAAAGCGAGGCAGCACACGACACAGAGAACCGCATCGGCCTCCATCCCCAGCCATTCCGAGGGCTGCAACTTCCTGGCCATTGTGAGCGGCTAGCTGTCGCTGCACAAGAAGCCGGAGCCGAAGCAACCACCTTAGTGCTGTCTGGATCCAGACCGTCAGATGAAGTTGGGCCGGAGGTGGCTGGTTCTGTGCCACCTTGGGCTCCGTCGTCTGACATTGGCCATGACGTGGCATCAACCAATTCCAGCACATCTGCCCAGTTGTGAATCTTGTACAGGATTCCACTTTCGGCGGTGCGCCAGGTCGTTCCCACCTGTTTCCCCATCCCTCCCTTACTGCTCCCTGTCATCGCCATATCCAGGCTGTTCCTAATTTCCTTGCAAGCATCCGACAATGGCCGCACCTGAAATCCGAAAGCCTCGATCACTCTCTTAAGCCCTTGATTATCTCCTATGATGATGCCGGCATCGGCTTTTGATAACGCAAGGATATCGAACGTACTGTCGCCAATGAAAACCACCAGTCCTTCAGACCCCTGCTCCCCACTCTGTCCGTCACATTCTGCAGTCTGCAACGCTGATCTTACAATTGACTCAACAACTGCATCCTTTTCCTCAGGAGTGTTTAGATCGCCTTTGATCACTCCTGTCGACACCCCGTCTTCATAATCGAGCTCATTCGCATGGACTTCGATTCCCTCAAGCCCGAGCACGGCTTGGATCAACTCCTTGGACCAGTTCAGAGACGCAATTTGGACGGGAATGCCCTTATCGACCAGTTTGTGTAGCGTCTCGGTGCAGCCAGCCCGTAGCAGAGAGGTACTGCTAAGCATAGCCACCTCCTCTGAAACCGCTCCGAGGCGAATGCCCGCCAGCAACTTGTCTTCTGCCATAACTTCTACAGAGTTATCCAGGAACTTTCCAATTTCTTTCGAGAACACCTTCAGTGCTTGCCGCCTTCGATCACCACTCCACTCAACAGTCGGTTGTGAGGAGAAATTACCCGGACCCAAGGACCCTAGCGCCTGTGAAATGGAAACCCCAAACAAATAATTAGCAGCAAATATCAGTGCCTTTTAAACCTATTTCCTTTTTCTTTCTTCACCGGAGCCACTCAGCCCATGTGGCTGAATCAGCCTGAATGCTACACGCATGTAGCTGTCGATAACCAGATCATGTGCTTAAATCCTGACAGAATCGTATGGATGCGATAACACAGCGCCAAGCGTGGACTCAAGAGTACACAAGGATTGCAGCCCTTCCGCCCCCCTGGCCGCTATCATGCCTTTGCGGTTGGATTTTTTGCAATGCATATTTTTCTTCCTTCTTATTTTTTTATATTTTTTTTTTGGGTTGAAAAAACTTGAAAAAACTAAGTTATATTCTTCTCTCAATTCCACCTTTCACTATCTAACGGATTCTTTTTTGTTTTTTTTGTTTTTTTTTGGACCATTTCTCGATTTATGCGTGTCATCCTTGCGCAGGGGCCATGCTAATCTTCTCTGTATCGTTCCAATTTTAACAGATGTCCCGAAGGACACTATCTAACGGATTCTAACCGACCACTACTCCCAAGCCTATACATCGGACCCCTGCAAGCACAGCTACCCCTCACAATTAAGGGGATGCATGTTGGCCACCGCCCTAATCGGCGGCGGACCGGTGGTCAGGAAGTAGGGTGGGGCCGCTGGTAGGGGGGGCCGGCTAACGCAAAGACCAAGCATTTTGCCAGTAGGTGTGCCACCCATCTACTTCCCCCATCCCCCCTCGAGGAGTAGCAGCAGTGGCTATGGCCAACACTCTCCCACACACCACATACAACCCACTCACACTCACGCACACACTCACACCCGTGTTTGTCATAGACCCTACTAATACCGATAAGGGGTATCAAGCGGACTATCACAGTCAGTTGGCACAAAGTGCGCCGCAGGTGGTCATGGGGGCTCGAACCCACAAATTTCTTAAACGTTTTACTGCGATTTTGGGCTGTACATGTTTTATCCGCAATGGATAAGGTGACCCTTTTAGTGTTTGGGGTTAGGGGTTACTGTATTCGTTCGGGCATGGGGGGTAATGAACATAGGGGTGAAGCAGAGCACAGCTATTGTCTTTGTAAAGCATGTTTAAAGAACAAGAGCATTTAGAAAGGGGATTCCCCAAGGATCTATAATTTTTCTATCATTAAATAAAATTATTAAAATATCAATTAATGTACAATAATATTCTGCGTAAAGTATGTAAGTAAAATCACTATTCATCAATTTAACACTAGTAATTTGTAATTACCGATCTCCAGTCTTTGTTATGACAAAATAAATATTAAATAATGTAAGGTTTGCAAACAATTATTATTCTATTATGCGCGAACCGCGAAGAACGTAAATAAAATCATGCATTTATATTATTTTATAAAGACTAATATCCGTATAATTGAGTCAACTCCGTCAAGTATAATACAACGATAAAGTGTAATACTACACTTAGGAAAGGGTTTTGGATATCTAGTACCTACTATCTACCTTATCCAGTGCAGCAGAGACTGCTTCATTATACTGCTGCTCATACTGTGTCCACATTGCCACCCAATGATTCCACTTGTCGTCTGCAGACTTGCCGACCCAACCAGTCCCGGAACTCCCGCCATCGCTGACACACGGATCGCCATCCCTTTCCGCCACTCGTATGGCTGCTTTCGCCAAAATGAATGAGGTGTCTTCCTCTGTGCACGTTTCATCGAAGTCGACGATAACAATTCGAATTCCATTTGCTGCAAGACCATTTGCCTTTGACCAGGATGTGTGTGCTGCGCTGGCGCGACCACGTCTCTGCCTGCTCCTGTTGCTGATGTGAGCTATGATCCTGCTCCTGCTGCCGCTGTTGAAATCTCTGATCGGACTGAAGGACGGAAACTCTGACGACTGCCAGACTGACGACCTCTGCGGAATTTGCGACGGCAGCCTTGGGAAGCCGCCGAACTCGGCACTTTGACGGATCGGTTCGCTGTTAATAGGCAAAACTGTTGTTCGTCTCCGGCATTCATATACATATTTGGTTGTGCCTCCCACGCTGTTACTTCGCAGTCTCTCTGTGGATGTGCCCCTGCCTCCAACGGCGTTACTTAATCTCTCTGTCGTTGCGCCCCACCGCAGCAAAACTGCTCCTCCTCCTCCTCGCCCTCCTCCACGTGTGTGCCGCCATGCTAAGGATCTGGCGGTGGGACATCTGATCAGTGCCTGCTATCACATTGCCAGCAACGCCAAATATAAAACACATGTTGAGTAGTCAGTTGACGTTCATTCAATTGGATGAATTTGGTCATCGGATGTACACATTCTATAGAAAGAGGTCAACCGTTACATTCCATGAATCTGGTCGTCCCATGTGTGCAAATTCGGTTGTTATGTCAGATTGTCACGAAGTTGGAGGTCCAGTAGACATCCTATACACAACGAGTTCAATGAATTTGGTCGTCCGATGTATATATGAGAGAGAACCCTATTGGCAAACTTATAATTCGTTGGATAGGGTTGTAATAACCCGCTCAAAAGATGCTATTGTCGTCGACCAGGGGCCGCCCACAGGCCACAGCAAGGCCCTGCCCCAGACCGTCTCCAAACGAGGCCCTGAAGCGAGGCTTCAGAGGCCCTGCGTCCGACAGTTGACCGAAAAAAGTCAACCGTCAACTGTAGATCGGAAATTGAGGCTCACGAGTCAAAGTCTGCACGGACCCAGTCCAGGCCACCGATCAAACACATTTGGCTGTTCGCAGGTATCTATGCAGAATCTGGTCCAAGTGGAAGTCTGCAACTGTAAGAGATCCAGGCCATTGACTGCGAGTCAATCTGAGCCCTGGTATCCGGGAGACCAGAGGCTGCTCAACTTGCGTCAACATTACTTATTGACTCAGCCCCTGCTCATCGACATTCAGTCTTCCACTTGCTGTTTGACGCTGGCACTATGCTGGCATGGTGTGTGACGACGACGCGAGACTGCTGTATTGCGTTGCTGGCGCCTCTCTGTTCTTGGCGCCAGCTGGGATCTTGATTGCTGACGTGGCGCTTGCCACATTGTCTTCGACATCGATTGGGGTATTGACGAGGAGGGAGATCAGGGCTGTGATATTGGCTGTGAAAGAGAGAGGAGCTTATCTGATTATTGCTGTCAACATTGCGCGCTGTTGTGACGTCTTCATGGGAGATCTGTGCCTATGTGGCACTATTTTGTGATTGGTTCTCGCCAGGCTCATCTTTGGGATACCGTACGCTGACGTGGACAGAGAGGAGATGCCCAAAGGAGGAGTGGGACATGAGGGAGATCTTTCTTCGATGACATTGATGGATACTTTCTCGTCCACCCTCTAAGTCTTATCTCCCTCCTACCAGCTTCGTCCTTTGGTTACGAGACATTGTCCTTTGGAAAGTTTGGATCACATTCATGATTATTGGATACATTGACATGCGCTGAGACATCTTGTACTTCGACATTGACGAGTTTCTCTCCTGACTGGGTTCATTGCAATTTGGTATCAGAGTGTTACCTCCTTCATCGCGATCTGCTGTTGCGCGCTGTGACGCGCGATGGTAAGTACGGAAAGTAGGCCGCGCATCGATCGATCCGCGTTTATAAACACGTGCGATTATAATCCAAGTCTAGACATTGAGCTTCCTACGTGCGGGCTCACTTACCTGAAGACGGATGATGACGTGGACCAGCGACATTGCTGACGTGGTGATCGGCAACCGGCAAAAGTATCGTTGGCAGAGGTGCTGACGTGGCGCTGGACGATTGACCACAGAGAGAGAGAGAGAGAGAGAGAGAGAGAGAGAGAGAGAGAGAGAGAGAGAGAGAGAGAGAGAGAGAGAGAGAGAGAACTGCTGATGTGGCATTGGGAGTGTTGCCTACATGGCATGGCATGTTGGTGCTGACGTGGCATCCAGAGAAACAACAGGTTATTGTCTGACGTGGCACTTACCTGCTGACGTGGCACCTCCAAGGTCGCAGCGGTATCTTCAGTCTGACGTGGCATACCAGTGACAAACGGACCTGGTAGTAGCGCGCTGCTGACGTGGCTACTGTGACTTCCCATTTGACGGCCTTGCTGGACATTGTCGCTGACGCGGCATACTCCGTGGATGTGCTGCATTGGCCAGAGTGGGATGTGACACATGGCAGGGAAGACTTGCGCTGCCATTTACCGTGACGATTGGTGGGGATCGACACTTGCAATTGGGTGCGCTGATGGGCGGTACGGCACTAGGTTATGCCGTAGTGCCACGCGTCAGTCCTTGTGCGTGGACACGGGCGTCTGCAGCGAGACAGCAAGAGGATGAGCAGCTGACACATTGATTGCTCGTGTTGTGATTGGCTGACTCTACTCACCTATCGTGGGTTGTTCTGTGGATGCTTGCTGACTCACCACTTTTGTCGTTGTCTTGATCGCACTGGTCGTGGCTGTGGTATCTGTAAACTCTCGAGTAGAAATCATCATCAGAATAGTAATCAGCAGAAGTAGAAGAAAAAGAAATTATATTTTGTTTCTACTGAAATAAATTTATTTATTTACTGGGTGAGGACGGCGCCCGGCCGGGCGTGCCCGAGGCGGGCCGAAAAACACCCGAGAAATATATATTTTTTTCTTCTGAAGGCGGGGTCTTTCCGC